TTTCATTCCGTTCCGTTTTCATTTCGTCTCGTTCCACCTGTCGTATTGTACTATGTTCCCGTTCCCATTCCCGTTCCATTGCATTCCATTATTTTATTCTTTATTCTTAATACGCCCCCCCATTGGTAGTTAAACTACATTTTACTTGTTGTTGTTGTTACATCATTTTTCTCTATAACGAATAGAAACAAATAATTTTACTATTGGGAGACTATTTCTTTGTTGTTTTTTTTTTTTCTAATTTTGTTACTTTTCTAACACTTTCCAACCATTTCTTTTTTTTTGCGATACTTTTATAAATATATACAATATATTGAATTAGATATTTTTATATAGACAATATCTCAGATATAATTATTATATATTATATATCATATTTTTTTTATTTAATTGATTTTCGAAATAATAAGATTATTTTAAATTTGCATAAATAATATAAAAGAAAATAACTATATTTGATTACTCTATTAGTTTATCGATGAAGAATTTGAGGAAAAAATTTGACCAATTATTTAGAAATATTTAACAACATTGACCTGGTATAGTATCATTATACATATAACAACGTACCTTTCTAAATGGTCATTCATGTTGAATGAGATTTATGTTACTAGAGAAGGAAAAAATAAATTGGCAAACGATTGAGAAAATACCGGATACAATGTTGGAAAGTAGTCAGACGAGTATCAACATTATTCATGTTCCATTCGTTTAAACACAGACAAACAATTTAGTTGTCTCTAGGTGGTATGCGTGATAAGAAAAAGAAAAAAAGAAAGTAATTATCAACGTACTGTTAATGAAAAAGAAAAAAAAAAAGAAAGGATTATTTGTATCACTGCTTATATGTTTCTTTATTTAAGTCTTATTGTTCTAGATATATGTCTGTCAGATTTGTATTGGTATTAATACAGATATATATATATATATATATATATATATATAAGTAAGTAAGTATGCGTCAATCTACAATGTTAGTATGTTGATCTTGATTCAATGATGCGCTTTAAGTATGTCTTTATCAGAACATACTCTAAAAAATACTTTACTTCATGTCCCAACTTATCATTTGCTATGTCAGGTATAAGATAAAGAAAAGATTTCATTGAATAGCTTTGCAACAATGTTTTAACCTTTTTTCTTTCTATCAAAATTTAATTGCATTGAATAATATATATATATAATTAGAATTAATTTAAATAATAAAAATCAATAATAAATCTTTTCTTTTCATTCACATTGGTTTCGTACATGTGACAATGTTTCGAGAAAACAAAATATTACTTATTAATAAATAATATTATTTAACGTTTTTTTTTATAAAAAGAATCATCGTACGAATCATTATCAAAAATAATTATCAATTAAAGTAACAATCAATTTCTGGTAATTCGTTATTAACGTAACAAATATTATATCAAACGTAAAATAACATTACTTGTATCGTTTCGATCGAAGTAAAAATGCGTGCGTGACTAAATGAAGATTTTCAAATTTGCCGCCATTTTCTAAATCTGCGCATTTTCTAATTTCAATCCATCGGCGCAAACTTCACGATGCATCAGACGTAGGGATGCAATGCCAACATTATTACCATCGACGACGCCGTAAGGTATAGAAAGCGGTGTTGTCAAATCTAAGATCCCCATAAGAATATAACTTTATTTAATATGGTGTTTTACAATTAGTGGAATAACAAAAAAAAAAAACAAGGTGATATCAATTTATTTATATCATACCGTTAATTAATTCCTATCGAATTATTTTATTATTATTTTTTTCTTTTTTTTCATATATAAAAATCGATTTATATTTTTCTCTCTCGTTTCAATCTAATAGAAATAAAAGTGAAGAAGAATTATAAAGTGAACGGTTTTCTCTACGTAAAAATTGACACACAAACAATATTCAAGAGGAAATAAATATATCGCATTGATGATCTACCTTGAAACAAACGATCGTCGATATAAATCCGATGGGAGATGCTGATCGGTCGAATTACATTTGTTCAACTTTAATCTTTTCATTAATGGACTCTTGACGGAAGATATTAATATTGAAACGAAACAGGTATCATCATCATCCATTTTGTTTACGCACGCCTCTCCCACGTTTCGTCCTCAAAAAAACATTTTTCTATCCAGTTAAAAAAGTTACAACGGTATATCGACATACAATTTTAATGGATTTCATTTAATCGTGTTACTTTTTTTTTTCCAAATAACATCTAACCACATTCTTTTCGACAACCCTTACTTCTTTATTTTTATTTATATCTTTTATTATTTTTTTTTTCTTTTTCTTTTTTAACAAACCAGAAAGAGAGACAGAGAGAGAGAGAGAGAGAGAGAGAAATCGATCAATGGTCTTTTTCGATATTTTTTTACCTCATTCTATTGTTTTCCCTTACATATGTATGTATGTATGGATGTATGTGTATATATATAGATATTTTTTTTTTTTTTTTTTGAAGTTATATTATTTTTTTTTTTTTTTTTTTTTGTTCAATCAATACAATATTAGTATTTTTCATCGCATCTCTGTTTATCTTTTATTTTTTTTGAATATAATATTGTCATGTGAGAGTTTTTGAAGTATGCATTTCTTATCATTTAACCTACTCGTGTGATATTTGTGGTGATTGAAGATAAATATTTTGATATATACATATTATTGAATTATATTATATATACAACGCGTGCGTTTACGTGTGCGTGTATAATGCGTGCGTGAATGCGTTCTATATATATATATATATATAGGACATATAAACACGTATTACACGTGCATACGTACAACACACATACGTTATTTATTATTTTGCAAATGTACGAGATGTAATCTGTTTACGTTCAAGATTTTTAAATAATTTCTATAATGTTATTAGTTTTTCTAACCTATTGTGTATTTTAGGTTTAAAAATTAAAGAGACACGATGGCTAATAAAACAAAGTTGTGTAATAAAACGCAGCCTCGTATTCAAGTATTTCGACCAACATATGAGGAATTTAAAAATTTCACCAGCTATATTGAGTATATGGAAAGTAAAGGAGCTCATAAAGCTGGATTGGCCAAAGTTATTCCGCCACCTGAATGGATTCCAAGAAAAAGTGGTTACGATTTGGATACATTAGAACTTAGTATTCCTGCGCCTATATGTCAAGTTGTTACCGGAAAGCAAGGTCTTTACCAACAAATTAATATTCAAAAGAAATCAATGACGGTTAAAGAATATAGCAAATTGGCAAATTCTGACCGGTATATTACACCACGACATTTTGACTACGAGGATTTGGAGAGAAAATATTGGAAAAATATAACATATGTGGCTCCCATATATGGAGCAGATGTATCCGGTTCATTAACTGATCCTGACGTTAAAGAATGGAATATCAATCATTTGGGTACGATATTGGATTACGTTAATAAAGATTATGGTATATCGATAGACGGTGTTAATACCGCATATCTATATTTTGGTATGTGGAAAACCACATTCGCATGGCATACAGAAGACATGGATCTTTATTCGATTAATTATTTGCATTTTGGTGCACCAAAAACTTGGTACGCTATACCACCAGAGCATGGTCGCAGATTAGAGAGATTAGCAAGCGGTTTCTTCCCATCCAGTTATCAAAGTTGTCAAGCCTTTTTACGTCATAAAATGTCATTAATATCACCCCAAATTTTAAAACAGTATTCTATTCCGTGCAATAAGATAACACAAGAAGCAGGAGAGATAATGATAACGTTCCCTTATGGATATCATGCAGGTTTTAATCATGGTTTTAATTGTGCTGAATCCACCAATTTCGCAGCACCCAGATGGGTAGAATATGGCAAACGAGCGACCCAATGCACATGCAGCAAAGACATGGTCAAAATATCAATGGATACATTTGTCAAACGGTTTCAACCAGAAAGGTATGAACTGTGGTTACGCGGTGAGGATATTGGTCCTCATCCGGAGGATCCTAGGCAAACAGCAGCACCCATGCCTTCTCAAATGGATTTGTTATGTAGTAACAGTAGTAATGGACAATTACCGCAAAGTTATTTGAATGCTGCTCCTAAAAATAAAAGGCATACCATTCATAAAAAGAAAAATATCATTGGAACCAATACGGATGTCGATATGGCAGAGTTAGTTAATCGTTCGGATATTCCAGCTGATTTAAAGAAAGTCTTGCAAGATCTAGAATATGAGGAAGGCGATGATCAACCTGATGAACAACAATTAGAAGTATTGGAAGATATTTGGCTTAAGGCAGGTGAAATGGATGTCGATGAAGCAACTGTCTATGACGATGGATATAATCGTAAAAAAGGTAGAAAGAGAAAGAGGAAGCAAAATAGTACAGAGAAAAAGGAACATCACAAATCAAAGAAAAGTTCAGTTAAAATGGTAAGTCCTAAACGGCCAGACGATCAGACTGTATCTATCAAATTGGAACCAGAAGAAATGTCTACAATTGATCAAGAATCAATCGATCAACAGAATTCGTTAAATCAAAATGATCATTTGCTTTTAACCAATGAAAATGTTTCATCCGAAAGTAATAGTAATACGTTGATCTCTCAATTGGCAATGGAAGAATCTAATTTTGTGGAAACTACAGATAAGTCGCCTTCTAAGAGAAAGAAAAAACATTCCAAGACTACAGAGCATAAGATAAAACAAAAAAATATTTCTAAAGGAAAGCATAAGCATACAAATATACCTTTGTTTATTCCTAACGAACCATTAGATGTTTCTGATGCCGATGTTCAACGTAAATTAATAGCAATGCCAAGTCTTAGCCTTCAGAAAACATATACCATGAAAGATATATCTAATAATCAAAGAAAAATCAATCTTCTACCAGGTAATATTATTTCCGTTGGAAATGAATTTAGTATGACTACTATGAAGGATAAAACTGTAGTAAATATTACAAACAGTGGACAGATAATGCATCCTTCTTACGAAGATGACAAACAACAGGTAGAAGGAATTATAACTGTTGGCGTGCCAGATAAACAACAACATTCTTTCTTGAAGAGTCCCAAAAAACCAAATAAAAAGCATGTTTACAAATCTACATTCCCTAATGTAAATTTATTGAAAAACAATACTTTAGGAAATAAGAAAATTGACGACAAATCATTAAACGAGGATTCGAAAATTTATACTCAAAATACCAAGACAGTTGGTAATACATCTTATAAAAGTATTGGAATGGTACAAACTGAAAGATGTATTACAAGTTATACCAGGAAAGATATCATAAAGGCACCTAAGTTAATGCATTTAGACTTATCAAATACCAAAGTGATATCAAAAGTAGAACTTGACGATGCAGTTGATGCAGATAAAGGGCTTCGCGTTGCTCCTAATTTGATGATGTTATCCAAGAATGATGCGCAAGATACTAAGCGCATTATGTTCTTGCCAAATACGTCCACTAACATTGACCCGCCAATATTGGAAAGCGAAGTTACAACAGATAGGGAAGCTGTAATAGAGAAGAAAAATGAAATGAATGTTTTAAATCCCTCGACTGCGTTTACCATTCAAACGAAAAATAATGCTGTTATGTGTAATTATTTTCCAAAGAGTGCAATTTTACCTCAATCACTTTGCCAGAGTAATCTAACCGGGAAAAAGAGTATCGAATTAAAATCAATTAATAATACTAATAATAAAGAAATGACGAAAAGTTTATGGCAAATTCCGTATAATAACGGTGTTTTCTTATCAAATCACGATTACAATAAACCAGTGCAATTATCTTTAGCAAATGCTAAAAGGGGAGGTTTATTAAATACTTGTACTAATATTCAAATAGGTCCTGCAACTACTGCAACCCTTACGACATTAAAAAAATTAGACTCAAATAAAGTATTATTAACTGCACCTCCGAATCTTCCGCAATGTTCGAAAATTACTTTGACTTCTTCTCCGATTCAATTAAACACGATGGATGGAAATAAATCAACATTAAAAGATAATGATAATATATCAAATAGTATGGCATCTTTGACGAGAATAATGCCGGGATCGGAACAAGTGGTTTCGAAAAGTTCTTTAATTATTCGAAAACTTGGAAGCGAACAAGGAATGTGTAGAAGTCTAATGAAACATACAAATACAAAATCATTGCTTAATCGTACAGTAAATAATATCGATGAAACGGCTAATTTAGAAGTAAGACAAGGTAATAATGTAAGTACATTGATTAATAAAACGAATAAGGTTGAAGTTAATAATATGCCATATAGTATAAATTATCATTCGGACAATGTACAAAATCATCATCAGAGAGATCTTACCTTAAATATGATAAAACAAGAAGACAACAAATACGTTAATGCATCAAAATCTCAATGGCAAGGCTTAGACAAAAATCCTAACAATAATAGACATTTGACAATGCCAGAATTGAAGCCAATTATTAAATCGCCAGTAGTTAGAAGGAAATCCAAAGAGAAGCTTAGAAAATCAACTACTAGGAAAAAACAATTACCTGAATCGACTGTTATATCGTTGGGCATGGAAGAAAAAAGTTCTTCAAGTTCGCATCCTGCTTTAATGATACCTGGTCACATTACCAATATGTTAAATCCAAATATTCCAAGCAGTGACATGATGAAAGCTTTCAATAATTATTGGAGCGCTCAAATTTCCCATTGTGCAATTTGTGCAACTTTTGCTTCCACTCGTTATGGAAATAGTCAAGTAATGCCACCTGATTGGAAGTATTGTAAACCTACTATTCTACCTGAAAATTCACCAATATGGGTAACAATTATTTTATATTTAATTTAATTCTATTGAGAAAATAATAATATTAAAAATCATTATATTCTATATAATAATATTACTTTTTATTTACGTTAGGTATCGGCAACTATTTTTGCTGTAAATTCAAAAGAACAAGCTATAGAATCGGAGAATTCTAAATTATTAAGATGTCGCGAATGTCACGTAACAGTTCATGCTTCCTGTTATGGAATTACCATTTTACCCACTGATCCATCCAATTGGGCATGCGATAAATGTAAGGCTGGTAAATCTGACGTGGTATGTATTAAAACGTTTATATAATATTGAAAGAAAAAAAGAGATGGAGATAGAAACAATTATTATTATTAAACAGATGTGCTGTTTATGCCCGATGCGAGGGGGTGCTGTTAAACGTACGAGCGATGGTGGTTGGGCACACATTTTGTGCGCTCTTTTATTACCAGGAGTAACTTTTAAGGATGCTATTAATAAAGATCCTATTAATGTATTAACAATTCGAAAGAATGTATTAAAACAACAATGTTGTTATTGCGGATACGATAGTGGTGCCTGCCTTAGTTGCAATCAATGCAATAATCAATTTCATGCTTCGTGTGGACTTGTCGCAGGTGCTACTTTTGCAATACCGTTATACAATAGTCAAGAATTACAGGTAAAAATAATGAATTGTTATTATATTTATTCATTGAAATGAAATAATTAACAACAAACGGTAAACAATCTTATATCCGTTTTTAGGTAACGTGTCATGGTCATGACGATGGTAAAGAAAAAATTCCTGTTATTCGTCAAGGCGAAACAGTATGGGCTAAACATAGGAATTCAAGATATTATAAAGCTAAAGTTGAATCTATAAAAGATACTCTTTTCTATATGGTCACCTTCAGTGATAACAGTTTTAGCGATGATCTATATCCTTCTGATATTATTGTGAGTATTATTTTAACAAAAGATAATCGAATATATATTTAAATTATTTTCTAATTATATATATTACAAAAACAAATATAAATCATATATATATATATATACGAATAATGTTATTATATTTAGAATTACGATCCCGGAAAACCACCTCAAATTGGTGCAGCTGTTACGGTTAATTGGACTGACGGTGAAGTCTATGATGGTACTTTTCAGGGCACTAATCATCAAATTATGTACACCGTGAGTAATAATCATATGCAAATGTATTGCAACAAATTGTTAATTACATTAATTGCGTAAATTTCTTAATATTAATTTTATACAAACGCGCGTTATCTCATTTTTATTTAGGTAATTTTCGAAGATGGTTCTCAACTTGCCTTAAAACGTAACGATATTTATAGTTTACAAGAAGATATGCCAAAAAGGGTGCGCTCGCGTTTGGTAAGTTTGGTAGCATTATAATTATTTAATTATTATCATTTTTACGTATCTTTTTTTCTCTCTATGTTATTATCATTTTCTTTCTTCACTTGTGTAATTTTGATTATATTTTTTTCAAAAGGCTTTTCTCTTTATTCTCTCGTTCTTTTTCTTTTCTTTCCTTTCAATTGTTTTTTTTTTTTTTTTTTCTTTTTTTTCTTTTTTTTTTCGTAATTAATGAATAATTTCTTTTCTATTAATTTTTATATTTGTATAATTTATTAAAGTCCGTTGCCACAGAAATGAAGCACAGGTATCACCT